CACACTCTCACTCTCTCTCTCTTTCTCTCACACACACACTCTCTCTTTTCTCTCACACACACACTCTCTGTCTCTGTCTCTCTCTCTCTCTCTCTCTCTCTCTCTCTCTCTCACACACACACTTTCGCTCTTGCGAGCGGTGTGTGGCGTGTCGCGACGCCTCTTCAACTCAGAAAACCTCATAAACACAGAAACCTCATCGAGCGACTCACACTAAAGGCAAACACAGTCCTGTGTGTGACACCGGGGACTTTAACGTCTTCAATGTTTTACGTGTTTGATCTGTTTTGAACATGTTTTCATGGACTCATCAGAAACCACAGTAACCTCAGGACCAGAAGAGACTTCAGATCGCATTTATTACCTCCATTTTTATTTCAACGTCAACCTACATTTTTACATTTTGTTTTATCAATATATGCATAAATCTTAATGATATTTTTATGGTGAAGCGATGTGTAAGAGTTTTATGTCTGGCTTAAATGCTGCGAGTGTGCGGGAGGATCTATATTCTGCTCTGCTTCAGTTTTCGTATCTAGCATGTGATCACTTTACGCTGCATGAAGCTGCATTAAATGCATTGTGACGTTTCACAGCGTGTCGACTCCTTTACTTATTCTTGCTTTACATGTTTTATGGCAGGTACATGAAGACTGGTTCATGTTCTGTAGTGCAATTAAAATTAGGCCACTGTAACCAGTTAGAGATCTTCAGTATTTATTCTGTAAATAGCGTACATCATTATAAACTACATTGTTACTATGATGCCTGCAGTCGAACTGAAGAACTTTTATTTCATCCATACAATCTTTCGGTTCCACAAATGATTCTAACAAATCTTCCTCTGACATATAGTGCAAATCTCAGAAGTTTAGCTGACGTTTAGTTACTGGTTGAGAGTTGCCTGTTGTCTGCGCTTATTTTAAGTTTGTTTGTGGGGTGTCGACCGGTTTTAAAGGATGCTCCTCACTTGGAGGGGGTCTGATGCTGTGTTGCGTCAGGCCAGGAGTCAGAAGTTTGTCCTTCTCAGTACTCCTCAGTTGAGTTTTGTTCAAGGAGCTCTTTTGCGAGTGTCAGCAGCTCCTGTAACCCAGAAGTAGGCGTGTCCAGCTGTGCGTGTGCAGCATCCGTTCGGCACCTGTGTGAAGGGTGTGGAGGAGGATGTTGTGGTGGACTGCTGTTGGACATACCGTGGTGTTTGCAGGATGAGGATGGCCTTTTCCATGGCTTTTCCCATTGGTTGGTCTGGAACCTGGGTCTGTTGCCATGGTGATGGCTCTGTCCTCTTCTGGCTAGGGGCTTTCTGAAGGGTTTTGCATTGTGGCAATGCTGGGTGCCTTCTGGTGCCTGCTTTGGATTCCGGGTTGTGAAGTTCAGAATCAGTGGGGTCTTACAAACCCCTTTAGTGGAGGACTTGTGCTTGTTAAAGGCCTTCTGTGTCAGGTCACGCAGTTGTTGAATAGGCATTGTGAGGCAGGCCATAATGCCTAAATGGTGACTTACAATATGATGGAGGTTTCGGAGGAAAAGGCTCTTGAAGCTGGTGTCCTCCTCCATCCCAGGGTAATTGCGAACTCCTTAGTAAGCTCGTCAAAGTCTGTGATAGTAAGCATGGGGAGTTTCATGGGCAGCGATCAGTCCGTGTTCACAGACAATGGTGAATTACTAGTTAGCTAGGCTAGAATTACACCATTAATTCACTTCAATTGCATCACTTCAGTGACTACAATGATACAAGATAGGTACAAGAAGGCCTTCATTTAGGGAGATGAGGAATATTGCTCAAATCACTATTAAAAGTAAATATGCTGCGGCGAGATTTCTTCGTCGCCCAGATTTAATATCACTGCCAGTGGGATTCCTTCGCCACGCAGATTAATTCCTGCCGCTAATCTGAGATTTCTTCATCAGACTTGAGAATTATGCATTTAAAACTGAAAGTGGGGATTTCCTTCGCCCAATAACAGATTAATTTATTCTGGTACCATTTATATGGGCTGCTAATCTGAGATTTCTTCGTTGGATAAGGCTTACGCTGTACTAACAACAGAAATGAGGATTTCTTTGGTATTTAAACGCATTATAGCACTGAAAACTTTCTGCTGCTCATAGGAAGGCACATTCAAGCTATAGTTTATCTGAGTTTATCAGAAGCTGGTATGCATGTAAGACATTAATAAAAACCCATGAGACAAACACACAAGTCTGATACTGAGTCCGCTTGCAAATAATGTTTAAACGATCGCCACCGTTCTCCGCCAATTATGTAGCAAATTAGCTCAAAGGGGAAATGTATATAAATAATTGATTAATTACAATTATTTACCTCAGCTGCCAGTAGTAACTGTAGCAGAATTAATATTACAATCAACTAATCTGTTCAGTATAATTTCATATCAACTCTAGGAAAGGATATTTTCGTGGCCACAGAAAATAACTTTCTTACAGTAACACATTAGAGCATGTAGCTATAGATCGGATCGTAAAAGGGACACTATTCACAAGCAGGATCAGAAACTCGTGTAATTTGTGCACAAGAGTTTTATTAACTAAACGCTAACACACATAACTAATCTAAACAAACCAACAAATAAACATACACTTACGCTTGCATACAAAGGGGAGCTAGAGTGGATGAATGAAGCCATTAGAGAAACCAGAGAATGAAGAATTAACCTCCTGGGTGAAACCATCAGCGCCGTTTTAGAACAGGGTCTACAGCTTATACTAAACCTCTGTTTCGTTTAGTTAAATGTACGATACTTGCATTGCCTTGGCATGGAACGAGCGACCGGACGCAGTCTCAGATGAAAGTCTTGATGGTTTGGAGGTTCGGTGGAGTAGGAGTCGTGATCACCTTCTTCCGGGCTTGAAGAGTGATGAACTCCACAGATGTTCTGACTCGATGGTGACATCAGCTGAGATCCTAGGATCGTTGGTGAATGTGTATGATGTGAGAGCTTTATCTCCTATTGAGCTCACACCTCTCGGGGGTCACAGAGCCAATGGTGACTTGCACTTCTGGAGGGAAAGTTTACGACTCTTTGGCTCTAGTATGGTGTTTTGCATATGAAACTCGATTGGGTGTCTCGATTAGATTAGTATTATAAGATTCTTATAATACTAATGTGTTGCATAGGTATCAACATATAATATACATTATAGATCATGAAAATACGAACTCCTAGATACCAAACATGGTATAGGTGAGGTTATATTAACTAGTGATCTATCATAAGCATGCATAAAACATATACAATACACAAAACCATATACAAGAAGTTAGTAATCATACACACTGACCTGGGGATATGCAAGATAGAAATATTTGTCTATGAATTAATGTAAGAAGTCATGTCCTATAGCAGTATGTGTCTGTGAATTAAGTAGGAGGAAGATTCTCTCTACATACTTTTAGGTTGTAAAGTTTATCTGATCTGGCTGAGGTGTCCCAGTTGCTATGGTAACCAGGGGCCTGGACGTCATTCACAGACATATCTGTCTCTGCAGCACAAAAGCAGTGTTGAGTCGCTGGGGGATATTTGTAGCAATAGCCAACAATATATTGTATGGGTCACAATTATACATTTCTCTTTTTTATGCCAAAAATCATTAGGAT